CAGAAATATCCTGGTTTTATTTGTTAAAAAAATCCACACGGTCCCTGTTCAACCCTGTTTCAAGACGTTTCATATTGTAATAATAACAACAACAATAATAATAATAACAATAGCTCCAAAGCAATGGGGTAAACAGCGTCACATACACACCTACACTGAAACAAGCACACCAACGTCATATAGCTCTAGGGTTACCGCCCATAGGAAAGCTTGTCCCGGGCAAATATTTTGGTGAGGTGGCCTCGGGCGGATGCGTCGGGGGTCTGCCGGGCGGGGGACCTTCCTGGGCTGTTACAAGAGCGGAATGGCTCAGGGGAATCTGAGGGGTGCTGTTGGCTGCACACACGAGCCCATTTCTCTCCCAAAGACCCCCGTAATAAAGATCAACTGTGGAACCGGACGCCCAGCAGATCTCCCTGGTTCCTTTCGATTGATCTCGCTAATACCGGTAACGGGGAAATTCTTAGATCTTCTCATTGTAAAAAGGATAAAGACATCCACTAGAAGTACACTTCACTCTAGCCAGTACGGAGGCATACCAGGCACTGTTCATGCACTAAAAAAATATATTAAAAATAGTCAACATGACCAGAGCTAAGTATGTTGTGGGTCTCCAACTCGACTTTCGGAAAGTTTTCGACCAGATGTGGTGCCGGCAGTTTTAACAGAAATTAGAAATAGAGGTTTCCCAGGCGACATGCAGAAACTCATCGTATTCTCGAGTACCCCATCGACTCTTAATTAGGTTATTTTTATAGTATCTGTAAAAGTTGTGTTGAGATTAAATGTATTTATTATCGTGAATGTGTGATGTGAGAGGGTCTATGGCAGAATATAGAGTACCCCATCGGCCCCAATTGGGATAGTTGTATAGTATGTGTAATGGGTGATGGTGGAGAAATATCGAGTACTCCATCACTCTAATTGAATGAATAGTATGTAAATAAGAATGAATGTATTTAAGAATGAACGTGAGTACGAATGAGTTTGGAACTGCATGCATAAATTGACCTAGCAGTTCATCACTCCTGGAGCCCACCGAACGGATAAGACTGAGGTCTGTCCCCGGACTGCCAACACCCGGGGTCGGTAATTCTCGAGTCTGCCGGCAATTTACTGTAAATAGCAACAGCTGGAATTTCCAGGGGACTACGAGAGGCCAATAGGCTCAACTCGGCACATGTTTGTATATAAGTACGTATATATGCGGATTTGAGTCTATACAAATCCAAATGTAAATAATAATGTATTATTAATATTAATAAAAGAACAAATGAAGTACAAAAATAAATACAAACATTGGGGATGCGACGTGGTTCACCGGCTGCCGAAAGACGCCCAAAATTAATATTTAGAAATAAATAAGTAAATTTAAAAGATCCAAACAAAACAAAACCTACAAACGGAAGCATACAATAATAAAAATAATAATAAAATGGAATATAAAAATCAAAGTACACTGTCTTATAAATTCTAAACAAAATTAAACAAGAAACTTAACTTTACTGCAGATTCAAAAATTAAAGTAACAAATGAACTCGTACATATAAACCACGGTAAAACACGCAAGAGTTTCACTTTTAACATTTACTGAATAAAGTAAAGAGAGCAGTCGGGCACTTGACAGCGTTCGCCGACCCAAAGAAAGAAGACGAAGTTCTGACAGTATCGAACATTCAACACGAAAGATGTCCTCCTTCTTCCCAGAAAAACATAAAGGACTGTGCTGCCTCCTAACTTCCCTCCTGGAATTTATAACATCCATGAAACTTCTGTCGGCAGAGGTTTTTCTTCACATTATTCTCTAGATATTTTCACGCTTATAAAAAGATTTCTGCAGAGAAATCAATATTACGTTCATTTCCTTCAATTGTGACTTCACAAGTTTAAACAGGTAGCGTAATGTTTATTTGACGTATTCAGAACGAATCATTGGTTATGATGTACTGTTTGAGTACTGCACTGCTTATACCTTTCATTAAAATCACAGCCAATTTGAAACAAACAATTGTGAGATTTCTTATTGAGATATCGCAACTTACAACTGTTATGAACTCGATAACTTGGTCGTTTCCAATTTTTTATTAGGATTTAAATTACAAACTCACCACTAACATAGTGAAGAGCCGGAAGGCTTCTGACAGACTAAAACGGCCTAGATATGCTGACTAAAATTACGTATTGTTATTACTCAATAACCATCTCTAACCTCTCTCTGACCTAAGTCTCTTTTATTAGTCCGTCAGCGTTTTCTTTACTAATATGTGCCTTTGATGGATCAAGTCTGCTTTTTTTTGGATTGTTCCAGAAGGTACCTGTCCAAATAATGATACCTTGGTAACATTTCAGTTTAGCAGAAGATAGGCAACCTAAAACAATCCTAACCCTACCTATTTTAACCATCGATAAACTAACCATTCGTAATGTAACCTAACCATAAAACCATACTTAACCATTCCTAGTCTCACTTAACTTAACCCTACCTAACCTAACGTAAACGTGTTTGATCGTGTCTGGCAGGGTCTTCTGCTGAGTCTCAAATCCTTCCTTTCTACTATATATTATCTCATCCTAAAATCTTACCTTTCGGATGGTTTCTCCCGTGTTACTTACCGACCCCTTTAATTCTATCCACAATGCTGTTCCTCAATGGATTTTCCTAGATGTACTACTTTTCAGTATATGCAAGGCAGAATTCCCTCAGCACTCTATTAGTCAGAGCCAATCTAATTCATAAAATTAATTACAATATCAAAAAAAATAGTATGTCCCATGGATTAGAAGCAATATTAAGTTTAAAGTTCGTATAGGTGTTGAAAGGACCTGGCGCCGTTTACCTATTACGTATACCATACGCATCTAAAATACTTTCTAAGGATGTTCCGCTCGCAAGAGACATGATGAGGGTGATCGACAAAAAAAATATTTCCCTTCTATCAAATATAGACATCAGGATATCTATTCTAAGGCATGGTTCGTTGTAAAGATACACATTTGTAACTGGCCATAAATAAGCTTTCTTTCTCTTTTGGTCAGGGTTACTGGCTATAGGCAAGAAAAGAAATAAAATAAACCGTTTTCATTTCATATTAATAACCCAAACAGGCGTCTCGAATTTTAAAGAGAGAGATAGGGTGAGAAATTTTCAAATTACATGAACTTTTACCGCCTTTCTTCTAGGTTCGAACAAGTAATATGTGATTTGAACCTCGACGAATTTCTTTTTTCTTATCGCCGCATGAGAATCACGAGTGCATTGTGATAAAAATGTATAACCACTTTTAACAAACGTTCAAAAAATTAGGACATTTCTCGACCCATCTGATGACATGTTTCAGTATCCAATGTCTTTCCCAAATTGTCCAAAAGAAAAGAATTCTCTCCTATTGAAATGAGCTAACAGCCGGGAATGGAATATTGTGTAAATATAATTTGATGCCGGTGTTTCATTCTCCTGCAATTGTTTCATAACAAGAAGATTGCTATCGTCGGAAAATTAAGTGTTTGTCCTCTCCTCGCAGGCACGTCCCGTTCTATTCTCTTGACTCAGCGATTACCCGCCGATATGAAGTAAAAACCGGCTTTGACTAAACAAAATTGTTTTATCCTTTGTATTAATTTTCTTTTTTAACGATAACCGGTTACAATTATCATTCACGTATTATAATTTAAACGGGATACGAGTGTTTTGTTTATATAATATTAAAAATACGAGAACTTCTTATTTGACCTTTTTTAACATAAACATATTAGTGTAAATATTTTGCGTTATTTACTTTGGTATACGTTTTTGGGCTAGACCGGGTTGGGTTAAGTTAGGGTTAGGGACGGGCTAAATTAGGTTACGGTTCTAATTGATGGTGGAAAAACAGAAAACGCTGTGTCAATTTCGCGAACTTCTTTTCACGTGAATATGTTTTTGGGCTGGATAAACATTTTTTGCGTGACCATTTTTGCGTTATTAATTTTGCGTAAGATTAAGGTTAGTGTTAAGTAAGGTTAGAGACAAAAAAGGTTAGGTTAAGGCTAGGATTAATAAATTGACGCTAGAAAAACAGAAAACGCTGTGACAATGCTATTTCCTTCAAACGTGGATAAATGTTTGGGCTGGATACACAGTTATTGTACGTCGTCGATGTCCCGTTAGTTTAGGTTATGTAGGGACAGGGTTTAGGATAGTTAAGCTAGTTAAGTTACGGTTAGGATTTTGGGCAGGTTATGTTAGGTGAGAATTAGGGAAGAATTAGTTTATGTTAGGTAAGGAAGAATTACGTTAATATCCATGATTTAATGCTTTTCCGATGATTTTCAATGTAACTAAAGTGTTAATTTCTTAGTTCTTAGTCATTAGACCGAAAGTAGAATGAATTCGGGAAACGAGTCTGCATTTTTCTAAGCCATTTCAATCTTTTAAAATTTAGTGACTTCAATAGTAAAAAGTTATTAAAACCACTCTATTTTCGTAAAGAAGTTTTTTTTTAAATCACGTGTATTCGAAGATTATGTTAAGAATCCGTATTTTTTTGTTGGTCCTTTTTAACCAAAGTAATTATTAAATTGATTTATAATTTTTATGTAAAGTGGGATTGTAAAAATTATTGTCACGAGCGGGACTCGATCACACGACCTTCGGCTCAATAATTTATAAGCAAGGCAACTATAGACAACAGACAATATGAAGGGGGTTGCTGTTTTCCAAGGGTTTACCTTAGATTTAAAGTTTATAATGATTAATCCTGATTTTGCTATCGCTGTAAAGCATTATAGACCGAAGGTAGAAAGAATCAAGGAATCATAACCACTTCCGTATTATCAGATCACAAGACAACCAGCGGAAGACGAAGAACGAGAGTGCCTGTCATAAATATCAACAATCCCTTTCTTTTTTTTATCATCCTGTTTTACAATATCGTATTGAGAAGTTGAAAAGTGGCAGATAAAACAAGAAAGATTTAAGGTAAACGTAAAAGAGGGGCGATGAAGTAGTGGTGGGATCTCCTGAGGAAAGTCAGTGTGAAAGGAGAGAGTCCTAGTCTCAGTTGTATCCCAAAAGTGTTGAGAGACATCTATGCGTCCAGGAATATGCACCCCATCCACGTTAGTACCATTTATCTTGAAACTAATACCTTTTTTATAATACGACCTAGTATTGATATTTTTACATCTACTTTAATAATGAAAGAAATGGATAAAAATTCTCAAATTATCAAAGGGTTCAACAGTAAAAATATATTTAGGGTTTTATTGTTGGACCTGATTACGATTATAATTAAAACGAAAAACTATAACATAGTAAAGACCAATTTACTTGAGGTCCGTTCTTTGGACATACTTTGTGAGTTGACCCTTAGATATAAAGTTCGAAGTACTACTGGTCAAAAAGGAAAGATAGAAGAAAAAAAGATTTCGTGAAGACTGTGGAAAAGAAATGTATTTGGCCTTGCCGATACAAGATCGCTGAGTAGCCGGTTAGTGTTATTAGCTAGGGGGTCAATAAAGAAACGACCGCAATGTGAAAATCGCTTTAAAGCCACATTTTCAAAGAGATATACTGATTTGAAGTCAGGAGTCTTAATTATTTTTTGGACTTGAACGCCTAAAGACCATCGGTACGTCTTAACGAGGCGTAGGTTTTCTAGGACCTTTCACCAATTTTGGATGACGATTCCTATGGCATCGATGGTGAAATCAATTACGTAATACGGTAGGATCGATAGTTAAATATGAACGATTTAATATATATAAATAATATTATATATCCAACATACAAATACCTAGAGTTTATATTTTATATAGCAAATTAAAGGATGTGTCAAGCGTATTTTGAATAAAAAATGTGTTCTGAAAATAAAATAAGGAAATAAGTACATTAATCCAGCCTGCCTCTCTCCTCTCTCTCACTCTCTCTCTCTCTCTCCCTCTCTCNATTATCTCTCATTCTGATAACCGATTTATAAAAAAGATAGACTGTGCCTACATAGCTGCAGTTATATTTATCAAGTCCAGTTGTATCGCGCTTCTAAACCTAAAGTTGCACGTAATATTCTCGAGATATTGTAAATATGGGGAGAGAAGGTATAAGTACCGTGAAATACCACCCGTACTTTAAAAGCCTGGCTTAGGAAAGTGGCAAATTGGCTCTTAGGACAAAATGAAATAATGCCTGGTCTAAGAGGAGCCATCACAATTCTAAAAAGGATACAAATAGACGAAATGGTTATAAAAAGAAAATTTTGACATATCCCAGAGTGGATGGTGGAGTTAAGAGGAAAGAAATTTGACCTAGCGAAATCTTTAGGTACAAAGTCAACAAATTTCTATGTTGAGATCAATGCAAGAGAGCTCTGTGCAGCTCTAAGATTTTAGACTCCTCCTGGGAAAACTGTTATGTGGGTGCCAGAACACGATGAGAATTGAGGAAAAGCCTGGGTACGGATATAAAGAATTGGTGAATTGACAATTGATTTTTCCGTTCGAAGTAGAAGAAAGGTCGCTAGTGACCCCCACGGAGTAAGAAAATTATCGAGTACATCTTCCATGTAGCCAAAACCATATGCACATGCATAAATGCTCAATACTAGACAAGAAACTGCGTGTAAGGTATATTCAAACCTGTCCAAATTTGACATTATGTTAAAATTTGAAGAATATTTTAATGTTTCGTCTGCGTGATATCTGGATAATAATAATAATTATTTTCGTGAGGTGACCCCAGACAGATTACAATTTTTTATAGGTTCTTCCTGTTATTAACCTCTTATCTATGCTGAGATGACGAAGGGGAAGTTTTAAAATAACTAGATTTTTTGTGGGGACAATCATACCAAAAATTGAACTTAATTACCATTAACTTTACATGTCAACATCAACCCGAAAGTATCTACTTATCTACAGTCTCTTCATTCTTTTGTGTAATCGTTTCTTCCGTCCATTACTGACCTGCTGACTAATTCGGCTGTTTTTGTTTAACTCTGCCTAGTTTTTCTGGATTCATCAACTTCAAATTAGAGGTGCGGGGTGTTTTTCCCCATCTAGGGTTAGCTGTTCATAATCACTTAAGACATAACGGCCTGCAGATCCTTTCGGGTAAATTTTGACCGTTTTTTCCTGGGTGAAGATTTCTTCTGGCAGTCAAAGATAGTTGAGCAGGCCTCACGTAAAACCCGAGGCTTTCGTTGCGTTCCATAACTTTCTTCGGCCGGTATTTTACGCTCAGGCATCTTTCATCGTGAACCTATCCCTTCCTCAGATATTTTTCCTCCTGGAGGGACTATTCCATTTACCACTAATCAGTGTAATCTCGATAGTAATGGCGTAATGTCTTTTTCTTCAGATCATGAGCAGAATGTCCAAAAAAAAATCATTTTCATTTTTTTAATAGTCCGAAACGGTTTCTACTTTGCATAGGGCAATTTTGATTTATCTAGACGGCAATAGAGATTTTTTCCAATTGGGTTTTACTCCTAATACTGGGTTTTATGATTTCTTATACTACTGATACGTTTTTTATACCAGCGTCACTTAAGGAGGTTACCCGGCATGTCACATTGGATGGTCGTCCCTATCTCTCATAAAACGTTAACCCTACTATAAATTTCATTACACCAATAAAAAGAGCATTGAAACCTCCATGAGATTCATTTTTTAATTATATTTACAAGCGAAAAAAATCACTTAAAACATAAACTTTTACGAGTTTCCAAAGTTTTTGTCTGAAGTTTAATATTTTTCTTGGCACTGTAAATACTGACAGATCCAGTGATTACAGAAAATTTGCCCCTACTTGCCAGCCGTAAAAACATGTACTTCATTTTCAAAGGTCGTTATCAACCAATGCAAGCTTAACGTTTAATTGCTAAAAATTGGATTTTTCGGCTATAAACTAAAAGTCATTATGATTTTGAAACTTGTATTAAAATTAATGTATGTAATACAAAGTAAACATAAAAAAACAGATTCGTTGATATAAAATTGAATTTATAAAATAAAAAAGCTTGTTAGAATTAAATGTTCAAAATTTAATTTAATTTTCAGCAGCATTTTTTATCCCTCTTCAATTTTTTACCAAAGAATTTTGTGTTGTGTGTGTTTTCTTTGTATTACACTCATTATTTTTTAATAAAAGTTTCAAAACTGTATAAAAAATAATGAATCTAATTCAAAGTAAACCAAAAAAGGTTCTTTGGTAAAAAATGAAAGAAGGATAAAAAAAAAATGCTACTGAAAATTAAATTAATTTTTGAACATTTAATTCTCAGAAGCCTTTTTATCCTTGTGTTCAATTTTATACCAAAGAATCTCTTTTTTGCGCGTTTACTTTCTGTTGCATTCATTATTTTTAATAGAAGCTTCAAAGTAAACACAAAAAAAGATTCTTTGGTGTAAAATTGAACATAAGAATAAAAAAACGGTTCTGAAAATTAAATTAAACGCTCAAAATGTCCACCTTTTTGTAGAATGCATGACATCCCGTCATACGCCTAGTGAAATATATCTCATGACACCGGATGGCGTCACCCGCAGTGAACGTGTTAAGGAGTTTAGACGAGATCAGTTCTTCAGTTGTTGAAAAAAAACAAAAAAAAACAGGATCTTGTAGAATTGTTTATTGCGCGCTTGTCCAGGTTTGATGTCACACTGAAAAAGGGTGTGAGGACTGGTTTCCGAGATCCAAATGTGATAGGTAGGAAATAGAGTTGTTGACATGATTGGGATAGAACGTGATACCATCTCGGCCTCTAATTGGGCTGGAAACGTTGTGGGGACGAGAAGTGAAAACTAGAGGCCGGAACTGGATACAACGGTGCATTCCCACTTGTTTTCCTCCGTCCGACACCACTTGTCTTCCCTGTCGAACATTGTCCGAGTACCTTACGCAACCAATTTTGGACGATTTTAATAAAGAATTCGTGACATTATCCAGCAGAAGAATATTTATAAATAAAAAGGAATAGACAAGTTAGACATGTGCACTTTTCCACATATGGGATATATAGCTTACTATCTAACGTCTGCCGTTTGCTACTGATTGTGAGTAGAAACGTTCTCCTTATTAGCTCTTCGAATTAATATATAATTTACACTCTTATTGACAGAACCTGCCCTCCCTATTATTTTTGGCAGTTACCAGTGAACCGACCTCAAATAAACCATGGTTTTTTCCGATGTCTGCAGGTCTGTTGTAAGTTTATGCAAAGATCTTTCCCCTGCCTATGGCCTGGAATGTTATTTAACCAGATTTAACAAGTACTGCTTTACTTCAGTTTGAAATTTGGCAGAAGGTTTAAGAGAATTGCTGAAGAACCACGGCTAGTTGGTTAGCTAGGCTAGCTTCTAAATTATCCCGCATAATCAGGAGCCCAAGCCATAGAGAAGTTCTCTGTTCCTCACATACTAACCGTGATATTACCTCAGTTGGTGCTAGCTATGGGACTAGCTAGTTGATTGATTATTGATTTATCCTACCATCTATTTGGTAGGATCGGGGATATGGTCCAAAGAATGTTCTGGTGTTGAAACTACGCCAAGCTTTCGGTGTTTTATTTCACCTTCCTCTGGGCTCTACAACGGATACATATACAGATAATATTTTATAATTGCTCAATTTTCTGAGTCGGATGTTCCTTCTGCTATTCAGACTCTCTGAGGGCCACTTATCGACCAAGAACTTGACGTCCACTGACACCTTTTCTTTATCATATTTTTTATCGCTCGTTTAGCGCCTCGTCCGCAGGTTATCCTCCAGCCCGACGTGTCCAGTTAACACACATAACTACTATCGTTTTTCCCTAACCAACTTGCTATTGTTGTTTTTAATTTTTTTACCTTAAAGCTAAATTTCTGCCTGAAAAACCGTTGCAAACGATCCAAAAGGAATTGGTACTTTCATTCTCAATTTTCCACCAGCTCTAGTGCACAATTGGTTATTTGACCATCCTCCCCACATTCGGGTACCATGATTTTGTGAAGTTTTGAAGTTCTCTCTTTCTGTTCTTGTATTTTGGCGTATAACCAGCAAGAGGCCTATGTGCAACTGATGTGACCTGGATGAACCTTAAGTAACGCTCCAGTCGGGGTGGTTCTCATTGCTCTCGTCA